CATCCTGATCAACATGGTAAAACCCCGTCTCTACTAAAAATACAAAAAATTAGCTGGGCATGGTGGCGCGTGCCTGTAATCCCAGCTACTCAGGAGGCTGAGGCAGGAGAATTGCCCGAACCCAGGAGGGGGAGGTTGCGGTGAGCCGAGATCGCGCCATTGCACTCCAGCCTGGGTAACGAGCGAAACTCCATGTCAAAAAAAAAAAAAGGTTTATCTATTTGTTGTCTACAAGAGACAAACTTTAGATCCAAAGACACAAATAGATTGAAAGCCAAAGGATATTTGTACGTCCATGTTCATAGCATTACTCACAATCGTGAAAATGAAGATCAACCCAATTGTCCATCAACGGATGAATGGTAAAATTCGGTGTATACACACAATGGAGTATTCCATTAAAAAGAAAGGAAGTTCTGACATATGCTATAACATGGATGAACATTGAGAACACTATGCTAAGTGAAATCATCCAGTCATAAAAAGACAAATTCTATATGATGCCTTTTATATGAGGGATGTAGAATTGTCAAATTCTTAGTAACAGAAAGTAGAATGGAGGTTTCCAGGGAAATAATTTAAACGACTCCCCAACCCCTCCTTCCTGAAAGGAGAGGGAGGTCAACCCTTCCTGAAAGGAGGGGCTGGGAGTTGTTTAAATGATTATTAAGCTTCAGTTTTGCAGGATGAAGAGTTCTGGAGATGGATGGTTTTGCAATGATATGAATGTACTTAATATCACTGAACTATATACTTAAAAGTGGATAAGATGATAAATTTTATGTTATATGAATATATATGAACATATATATTATATATAAAATTTACCATCTTATCTGAAAAAAATAAGAAAAATTAAAATCTCGTTTCTAAATAAGTCAGAAGAGAAACTTCTTTCTCTGTAAATTCCATAGACACAACAGTTTTCTACAGACATTTGGACTCATCTGGATGTGTTCTTGAGACTTTTTTCTTTTATCTTTTCACTCACATGAAGGCAAAAATTGGTGATTCAAGGCATCTACTCCTTTATCCAAGGGTTTATGGACTGCAGTTCTCAAATCTTGTGGTTGACTGACCCTTTACATGTTTCATTTCAGTTTCGATTATTCCATGGAGATGAGGCTGAGAATTACAAAGCTCAGGAAAATGGGATGCTGAGACACAAACCCAGTGAGTCTGCGTGGAACTTCGTGCAGCTCAGAAGAGCTCCCTCTTGAGCCACACTGAATGTAGCTATCGTAATCTTAGTTACTTCCCATTTCCAAGAACAATACAAACCTTGTAGGTAGGAGTGTATATTTAAATTTTAAACTAACTTCTAGCTTTCTGGTCCCAGAAGAACCTCATTCCTAGATCTCCAGACACAGTATAGACTTTTTGGTCCCAGTGTTTAGGATGAAACTCCTGAGCTCTGCCTATGAAATCCCCAAATCTTGTCTCATCTCTCCCTTCTCTCCCCTCCATACTGTCCCTGGGCCACTCCTATTGTCCTTCCAGTTCCTCCAACTCAAAGCTCCCTCCACCTGGAAAATCCATTTCTCTTTCATCCTAATTGATTCCTCAGAGTTCAGCCTAAACATTCCCTGATTCTCTTGGTTTCTTGTTCCCCCAGTTATATTCTCTCATCTCACTTGGTATATGATCCCTTTCTAGTATGTATCAAGTTGTAAATAATGTATAAGATTTTGTTTACTGATATCTTCTCCATCAGGTTGTGTCTGGCAGATGGCAGACACAAAATGAATATATGTTGGATGCATGGATGGAAACAAAAGAAAGAAAAAGGGAAGGAAAGAAGAAAGAAGGAAGGGAGGAAGGAAGGAAAGAAGGAGAGAAGAGATGAAGAGAGGAAGGAAGGAAGGAAGAAAAAAGTGAAGAAAGGAAGAAAAGAAGGAAGGAAAAGAGGGGAGGAGGAAGGAAGGAAGAAGGAAGACAGGGAGAGAAGGAGTGAGGAAGGAAGGAAGGAAGGAAGGAAGGAAGGAAGGAAGGAAGGAAGGAAGGAAGGAAGGAAGGAAGGAAGGAAGGGTCAGTCCTCAATGGAGCCTCACAGTAGCAAATGCTGTAATATGCCACCCAGAACCCTTTTAGTGAAAGATTGTCAGTAAGCAGCCTTCAGCAATCTGTCCCTTCAGAGATTGCTTCAGTTGCAGAGAGCTGCCGCCCGAGGTCACAACTTTCTCAGGTAGCCCCAGGCAGCCCACATCCAGTAACTGATGAATGCAGCGGTCTAAAGTCCTGGTCTAGGCAATTTTAAAGACCCATTCTAGCTGCAGAGCATCCCATGGGTTGGCCAGGGCTGCTGTTATCCACTTCCTCATCCTCTCCACACATGTGGATGCCCATGGTAACTCCCTAATAAACCCATTTCACAGCCAACTTCCCAGAGAATTCAACATGAAATATTCATAATCCCCAAGTAATCTAAGGCCCTCTCCTAGCAAATAGGTGGCCCCGAAAGCTTAGGACAAACCACTCCCCCAGAACTCAGGCTCCCAGAGAAAAAAACACCAAATTATAGTCCCAGCTGCACTTCTAAGTTGAGCCAAAACAGTTTCTGCAAAAACCTCAGGAAAAAGAATTGGCCTTTCTAGAGCCACTGTTGGAATCAGTAATAAGACATCTAGAAGTTTCTTTCACATGATTGAAAGTAATTTTTAAAGTAGAAAAAGTGACAAAGTGTAGCCTGGTGCCTGGCAACATACTAAAGATCCAATAAATGTTTGTTGAAACAATGAAAGCTTCTTTTTCCTTATTCTCTGTTTCTCTCCTAAGAATTTAAAACTAGAAAAAGATAAAAAGACTAATACATTCAGCCCCAGCAGTTATTTTCTCCAAATCACTTGTTTTTAGCACAAAAGTGATAACGACTTGTATTTTTCCACTATTTTCTTTGTGCAGGAGGTTTTTAAATTAATTTATTCTCTTTCTGCATCAGGTTGTCTCATAATTGAAGCTGTGAAGTGTTTGTCTTCCAAAGGCTTTCTGGTGATGTCTTTTCTGCTGTTAACATCTTCTTTGTCTGTGCCTGTGATCCCTGCCAAATTGCCCACAGAATAGCAACTCAAGTTCATAAATTATGAGACCACATAGGAACCAGGCACATCTATTTGAGTCTAAATGTCTTAGAAGTTTTCTTTTTGCAAAACAAACACAATCAAACCTTGATTTAGTAGAACATTTAGGGATGGGCAGTCTAGATAATTTGATTTTCTGAGAAATTTTCAGTTAACCAAAAATTCATCAAAATTTCCAAACCCTGATGCAGAAAATCTTGATAAAACATGTTCTTCTTTTCACTTCTAGCAAAGACAGTAGAGCATAATGGAAAGTTTTGGAAACAGAAGGTAGTGATGTCATGGCAAAAACGTTGAACTTTAGCGGTGAAGTCCTGGTGTCAGTCACCACTTTGCCTCTGACCCAAGCTTGGGCAAAACCCTCTGGTCCTCAGTTTCCCCTAAAAGGAAGAAGATGCAAACCAATGCTCTGGATTGTCTCAATCTGGTACCCAGCACTGATGTTCAATCTTTTTCGTTCCGGTTGCTATAGCAGTTTGTAGAGCATTCAGGTTGCATCCACTTTCACAGTAAAATCCTATCCTTTTCTGTATAAATATTTCCTTGGTGTCTACTTGCTGCATCCCATGCTGCACAAGGGTTCAAAAACCTAAGAGGGAACAGTGGGGGATAAAGAAAAAGACACAGACACAGACATAGAGAAAGCTGGGCCAGGTGGTCAGGGGGTGAGGATGTCAGTCTCTTCGGCCCCAACCTGTCTCAGTGTACTTTATTTTATACGTTCACAAAGCACATGGCAGAGGGAGAGTGCAATTACTTAGAACAGCCTGTGGTTACTATTCTCATAGTTTAGAACATACTTTAGCTAAAAACTATCTTGCAGCAAGGTCAGTGAAAGCTGGTTATCTCTCTCTAAGTCTGTCTGTTCTACCCCAAGACATACATATCCTCCCACTATAGTTTCACTTCTCTGAAGTTCAACCAAAGTTCACAGCAGTCTTGCTGCTGATACCCCCAGAGGGGTGGGCTACTCCAGCTCTCTACATCTACTCAGTGTTCAAGTGTGCTTGGGAATGGTAAAGCAATAAACAGTATCTATTCTCATATACGTGTCATCCTTTCTCCTGGCTTTTTCTCCTCAAGGTGAAAAGGAGCAGGGCAGGGGGATGATTTTGGAGTTTAATTAAATGATCACCAATTAACGTCCTGCTACATGTAGGCTCTAGAAGCATGTCCTAATGCAACTGTGACAGAAATAATTCAAATAAAAGTATTAAGTGAATAATATACCCACATGTGGCATGTTGTTAGATATAGCAAAACGCATTAAGATGGTTCTCAAATGACTGAGGTTTGGAACAAATAGATTAATCATAATAATTACAGTTTGATGAGTTTGGAGAAAAGCTATTAAGAGCTATCAATTAGTGTATCTGCTCCTTCCACATTCTCAATACCACTTTTCCTTTCAATGAATTGTGCTCCATTGACCTCAAGTGTCTTCAACAAGTATGTACACAGACTAATAATATTGTGTTGGGCTGTAAAAGTAAGTCTACTTATTCTTGCAAGGAGTACATAAATCACCTTCATAAGAAGCTATGATTTTAAGGATGTTTTTTCTGTTAATGAATAATGTTAAATGTCCAAAAAAAAATCAATTCCCAGGGGAAAAGATTCTGGATTATTGTATTGTGGATCGTGCACTCCTGTGTCTTCAAAGTTTCACTACATTGAAGAATTTAAAACCAGATCCCTACGTTACGGACTATAAAATACAGAAGATAATGACAAGCCACGTGTGAAAAGGAAATATCAAGAGAAAATGAGATCATCTGACATTACCAAATCCCTCTGTTGAGTGGAATGGGTTACTAGTGTAGCAGATGAACTGTTTGGTCAATGGGAATAATCAGATGTCCAATTCATATAGGATATGCTTTGCAGTGGTTTTGGTTAAAATGTTGACAAATCACGAGACACTTGCATTTTAAGTTTTATTTTTATCAAAACAAAATAATTTAACCATATAAAGAAATTTCAACAACCAAGAAACCAATCACTTCCCTGATTGTGAACAACCAATTGAGTAGTAAATCCTCAATAGCTGACTGCCCACCTAAGACATTTCGTCATCCTCTAGTGCTCCAAGTGGCAGAGCCTGATATTTTCACCTGGCTCCTATTCTTCCAGTGGTGGAGTAATGTGCTCAAATGTTCCTATACTTCTTCAGACCAAATTATGTATATATATGTCTACCTAAGTACAAAGCATGGATGATGAAAAGAATCATACAGGGTAGAAATCTAGCACCTAAGAGTGTCTAGGTCCTGACCCTTACATTTAATGGGTTCTGAAAAATAAAGACAAGAAATTGTGCTTAAGTATTGAGAAATGTAGTGTTTCAAAAGCCAAAGTGTCTCCCTTCATGAGCAACTGAAGAAAAATACACAAGCCTGGTTTGCTGCAGCAGTGGAAATATGATCGCCCATAGAGCCAGGCAGGCCATTTTCTCCTCACCATATTAAATTATGTCTGGGGAGTTGAGCAGCAGCACATTCCGATAATGATGACAGTTTCCATAACTATAAAAATCTGCTGCACCAGGCAAATTCTGTGCAAAATGCAAATTTCCGTGCTGGGGGAAAAAATGAATAATGTGATCATTCTAAGTAATGAATGTAAATGCAAGGAAATACTTTTTGGCATGAGACAGCAAATCGTTTATCTTTCATGCCAAGGACTGTGGTCATAACACGCTTCTGCAAGGTTACCCTTCCGATCTCAGCTTTACAAGAGTGATTTGAGGAAGAAAAAGTCTGACTTGCCCTACATTACCCACCATACTATTGGCAGTGTTTCAATTACATTCAGAGACACCCTCCTCCATCTTTTTTTTAAATCACTTGGCAAATGAACCATAGGTTCTCCTGGTTACTATGAGATGTGAACCAAAGAGGTTATTAGCTTTGCCTTAAATCTCAAGGGGTAAGCCTAACAGGAGAGACGGGCTGTTTTTCAACGTGTTTTACAAGAAGGAGGATTCTAGTTGTCCACCAAAAATCACGTGACTTTGAGTCACTTAACAGTGTAGGTTGCCAAGGAGGGAGGACTGAAGCCTCTTCCCTCCATACATCTTTCACGACAAGATCTAGCTGGATGTAGGTACATCTGGAAAGAGGAAACTGCTGAGTCTTGAACATTATGAGGAAATGTCACTTTTGAGATTGGCAAAAAAAAAAAATCAGTGCCTTTTGCCTTAGTTCATGCCAGCCTCCCTGGAACTATTCTCTGTGAAAGAAACTAAGGCACCAGTTGGTTAAGACCCCTCCCTAAAGATATAATAAAATTAACAGCACTGGGGAAAGAAGGAAATCCTATCTTTAAACTCTGGTTTGCTTTGTTCTTAAATAAATTTGTTTTTCCTTAACCATCATGCAGTAATGCACATGCAGAGTATAAAACCCGGGTAGTTACCAATTGATAATACTGACATTTTATTTTCAGTAACCCAAGCTGGGTTCTAGGTTGTTGATGTTACCCTTAAAATGTATTCTTATAATTACATTTCACTTTAAGAAAGCCCATAAGAAAATTAAGATTTAAAAACTCAGAGATTGTTCGTTGCTTTATAAAATTTTCATTAAAAAAAACTTTACCTTAGGATGCTTTTCAAGAGCGAACTCCCTTAGGGTCATTCAAAATACATTTTTTATCTTTAAAAACCCATTGAAATATAACTTTTCCACAAATTCGTGTTGATATAAAGTAAGGTACACTTGTAAACATTGCCAGCCACTACCAAAGACCAGGGAGGCAAGTGGTTTGGCAACCTACTCTACCTTTGTAAGAGACACAGGGAGTTAGAGATGAAATCAACTTTCTGCCATATTTGACCTAGGTTGGGATGGGACAGCCAGCAACAGTGGCTCCTAGAAGGACAGAGCTTCCACCATTATCCTCAAGTTGGTGCTATTTGGAGCTATGACTTGCTGATTTACGTCTAGTGATCCCGCTGATGCCACAGTAGTCACTCAGAAAGGAGGGATATGGAAGACAGCTTTCTTTCCCCCCCAGTCAGTGCCTCCTAAGACAAAGGAGCCAGTTCACTCTACAGAGAGGTTTTCTCCATTCATACTGGAGTATTCTGGTTTTGATTTTAATTTTTGAACTATGAGCCACATGTATAGGCTGGATGATTGCACCCTAAAATCTGAATTCTGGGGAAAAGATTGGTTGGAGCTTCTTCAGGCTCAGGTTCTTCACTGCAATAATTGGTGGAAGGTATTTGTGTTTCAGTTCCTCTCTATCCCCACCCAGACTTCTTGCATGCAAGATCCCTGTAGCAATGGTTCCCCATGGGGAATGTCTTCAAGCCATTGAGTCCACACGTTTTATGGAGAGAGCAGCTTCTCACTCAACCACTCTCAGAAACATTGGAACCTGGAGACACATTCAATTCATCTTGACCAACTATCTTATTCTCACTTAGGGAAACTGAGGTACAGAGAGCCTCTTAACCAAGATTTCCCAGCTAAAGTCAGGACTTCAGTCTCCATCCAAGGCTCAAACCATTTGCCTATACTACCTCTCTTATTACAGTGGCATGGATCATTCAAAAGGGGAGATAATTACCACATCACTTTTGTTGGGTTTAAAAAGTACACTAAGCAAATGTCCAACATCCTTTTTACCTCCCTTATGTTTTTCTTGGCTGAGCCTGAAATCCTTGGATATTTATGAGTGCATATGAAATGGCCACAAACATATGCTAAGTAACCAGGGAAGCTGATCTGGCATTGAAGTTTTCTATGAATAACACCAAAATTGGAAAATTCACATGAAGATACTTGAAATTTGACCATACTTAGTCACAGGCACAGACTGACTAAAGTGTATTCATATGTGTGAGATGCTCTGCATTGCTGCCGTGTCTTTGAAGTACAAGATGTCATATGAACATCATTACATCAAAGTTAAAAGAGCTCAGCTATAAATTTCGAATTGTACAAAATCATACCAAAAGCAAGTATAAAATTTTGTTGAAATGCAGCAATGTAAACGTCTTTAAGTTTCTCCTCTCCCATGAAAGGAGGGGGAGAGGAAGGCAGCGGATCTGAGGCTTTGCTCACTGGGCTGGCTGGCGTAGATCTGCTATTTTCTTCTGCACAGGGGCGCACTGGCTTGGAATACTGGGGAATTTTATCTGTGCAGTTCTGACTTGCACAATACAGAGGCTGATTTAATTTGACAGCAAAGTAACACCAAGCCCCGAAAATAAAATTACTGAGATGTAAAACAGCGTCAAAACTCCAATTAGTTTTGTATCCTTGAAGCTTCTGGAGGAAATCTAAAAGGTTCCCGTCACGATGAGCAGGCATCAGTTTAAGCTGTACAGATTACTAAAATGTAACCCTCTAATTGAAATTCCTCAGAGCACAATATGACAAAAAGAATCAGAGGAAAATAAGTGACTTTTTCCCTCTCAAAAAAAATGACTCATTACAGAGAGACAGTTCTATTAACTTTTAACACAATGTTCCTTTGCAAGAGCTAGAAAAACCAGCGGTCTCAGAGGTCTCCACAGGAAAGGTACCAGGCACAGGAACAGGGGCTTGCGTCATCTGACAATAAGCATTGACCATTTGTGCAAAATTTAAAAGCAATCAGCATTTCACTGAATCATAGGCATTTTGAAGTATATTTACAATTCCACTAAGGATGTGAATTACCCTGAACAAACTTCAGTTTTTTAATGTATCTAAATTTTATCTCCAAAATGCACAGAAGTATCTTCCTGCCCAATTCATACCCCCGTCTCTTTGTCAAGCTTCTCCAGTTATCCCAAGCATGCTCTCCACCTGGGAAGCAAACCCTCAATTTACTAACGGAGAAAGTCAGTTGCCTCGACTCTGTGGGGTCCACTTATGGAGAAATGTGTTGATCGTGGCTTTCTTGGTTAGTGCCAATTGATTGCAGGGAGGCAGGGGGGACAGGTGCAGAAGACAAGACTGGAAGTCAAGGCTCCGTCACTGTGCAAGTTGGCCATTTGCAGAGTTTGCTTCCTGCCATGTCTTCCCTGCCTGGCACCACGTGAACATGAGCAGAGCACACCCAAGGGGAGTGAGGGAAGGCTGCGGCCAAGCTGGGGGTCTGGAGTCAGTTGGAGTTGGCTTGTAAAGAACTCAAAATGGCTCTCCTAATCTGTAGGTGTTTCATAGAGTTTAGTTCTTCTGCCAGCCTGGCAACATTTACTTGTGAAGCATCAACAACTGTCTTTGACCAAAGACACTGTCTTTCTCTGGAAGATTCATATTTCTATCACCAATCGGTCTTCGTCATCGCTGCTGGTGTCAGTGAACTCCACTCGAGTTTGCTTTCTCATTCCTTCCAGACTCCTCTTCTTGAGGGATTTAGAAGGGGCTTCAGGAATTCCTATGGGCTTCCCTGGGTTAGAAGGAACCACAGAACCCTTCTGAGTGATTAACTCAGATACCTGACATTTCCCACCATCACTTCCTAAAGGCGGGCAGGGAACAGTCGTTTCCCCACTCCCATACTGGCCTCTGGGAGGAAAAAATGTCTTCTGTCTCCCTTCCTCTTGGTGTGAACTAGTTGAACTTGGTCCTGAAGCTGGTAGTTCAAAATGAGTTTTTTCAGTTGACCCCAGTGGAACCAAATCTGAAATTCTTTGTCCAGATGAAGGTCTCCCTGGCAAGAGGGTCTGTGCTCTGCCCTCTTCTGTGGCTTTGCTGTCTGGGGAGCTTGGTGTCTGACTCCTCCCTGCAGTCTGGCTGTGGTCTTGTGGTTCAGCACTGTGAATTCCCTGGGTTATGTGATCTGTTCTCTCTGTCAGAGAAACACAAATGGCAGCCACAGAGGTAGGAATGTCATGGCAGGGAAAAGTTCCTTTGGACCCAAAGGAAGAATGCCCTTGAGCATCTGAGAAAATGTATGGTGTGGGATCTGTTGAGACTGGATCCTGGGAGGGAAGCAGCTGAGTCTCCAGCAACCCAAGGTCAAGACCTCTGCCAGCAGGTAGAGGCGTATCATTAACCACTGCCAAGCAGGTGTCAGATTGCAGAGATAATCCTGATGTGGCAGCAGTGCTGTGAGGGGTACAGTCATCATGCTCACCAGCAGACAGAGAAATATCCTGCAACAAAGTGCAAAGGAAAAAAGTGGGGGGGAAAAGGTTAATAGGTACAAAGAAAAACGTGGTCAGAACGTGGTTCTCAATGAAAACAGGTCTTGAGGTCTTAATGATTCTTTACCAAGCGTGAACTTCAATATGATGCCCTCAATAAGTTTCCATGAATAACTAATTGGTGCATTAACTCGAATAAAGCTCCTGACTGATACAAAATAGGTTGCTGAGATTCTATGTGCTTTTATCTGGCTTTGTGAAAAACAAAACCACTCAATTATCTAACCAGTTCTCAGCTTCCTTTTTTAAGTTATCACTGCTCATGAAGCTCATGAGGTACTATTTTATAGGACTGTGTATTGAAGGGTTTTTTTTTTCCCCAAATGGGTGGTTTTCCAAGTGTTTCCAAGTGGTTTTCAACACGCAGCCCCACAATCTGCCTGGGGGGATGCTTCATGTTGCTGTGGCGTCTGTCAGCCATCTCCCTACGCAGGTGTGCATTTATAAGATACTTGGATTTTTTAAAGAAACCATCCCAATGTTTTCACTACCAAAGTTGCTCAGTCATTTGACAAAGAATGTTCTGAGGTATTTGTTTGCCTTAATGGGCTTTCTGTGCTGCAAATCTTCATGAGGTGATCCGCGCAAGTTCTGCCACACTGAGCAAGAGTAACAAGAACAAGCAGAGCTATAAATCTAGACCAGGAATAGGTAGAGGCAGCTCAAAATCATCATGCCCACCTTCACAGTCCGTTTGTCCATTTTCCTGACAGTCCTTGAACTTGTACCAAGAGAGAGGGTTCCAGAGGTTTGTCTGCAGTCATCTTCCTTCTTGTCTGCCTTCCTACAACAAGGAGGTGATTCTGAGGTGGCACAAGATGGTTCCTCTAGCAAATTCAGACCTGAAACAGGACAGGCACATTTACGTACATCTGGAATTATAAAATTAGCAAAGAGTAATTTCCTGGGAGGTTGTTTGACTTCATGACCACCGCTGAGCTCATTAATCCTCATCTCACAGGGTGTGGGCAAGAACTCAGTCTATCTCCAACCAATTCACACTGGGTCAAGTAAAATATATTATAAAGGAAAGAAGTGGCAAAACCAACTCCCAAAGGAGAAAAATTCCTAAATGATACATACTATAAAATGTATCTATCGGCAACCAACAGAATGGGAAAAAATTTTTGCAGTTTACCCATCTGACAAAGGGCTGATATCCAGAATTTACAAAGAACTCAAACGGATTTACAGGAAAAAAACAAACAAGCCCATTCAAAAGTGGGCAAAAGATATGAACAGACACTTTACGAAAGAAGACATATATGAGGCCAACAATCATATGAAAAAATGCTCATCGTCACTGGTCATCAGAGAGATGCAAATCAAAACCACATTGAGATACCATCTCACGCCAGTTAGAATGGCGATCATTAAAAAATCTGGAGACAACAGATGCTGGAGAGGATGTGGAGAAAAAGGAACACTTTTACACTGTTGGTGGGAGTGTAAATTAGTTCAACCATTGTAGAAGACAGTGTGGCGATTCCTCAAGGCCTTAGAAATAGAAATTCCATTTGACCCAGCAATCCCATTACTGGGTATATATCCAAAAGACAATAAATCGTTCTACTATAAGGACACATGTACACGAATGTTCATTGCAGCACTGTTCACAATAGCAAAGACCTGGAATCAACCCAAATGCCCACTGATAATAGACTGGATTGGAAAAATGTGGCACATATACACCATGGAATATTATGCAGCAATCAGAAATGATGAGTTTGTGTCATTTGTAGGGACATGGATGAATCTGGAGAACGTCATCCTCAGCAAACTGACACAAGAACAGAAAATGAAACACCGCATATTCTCACTCATAGGCGGGTGATGAAAAATGAGAACACATGGACACAGAAAGGGGAGTACTAAACACTGGGGTCTATTGGGGGGAAAAGGGGAGGGCCAGTGGGAGGGGGAGGTGGGGAGGGATAGCCTGGGGAGAAATGCCAAACGTGGGTGAAGGGGAGAAGGAAAGAAAAGCACACTGCCATGTGTGTTCCTATGCAACTGTCTTGCATGCTCTGCTCATGTACCCCAAAACCTAAAATCCAATAAAAAATTTTTAAAAAATTAAAAAATAAAAAATAAAATGTATCTATATTTCACGTTGCTTCTCATCAGAGTTGTCTTCCTGGTCATGTCTGTTTAGGTACATTTAGATCAGCTTGAATTCTCTGGCCATATTACCAAGTAGCCAAAATAGACGTTTCACTCGATGTATGGTGGGAACTATGACCTAATCCCCACTGGAGTGCTGGGCAGCAGGGGATGAGGTTGGCTTTTGTGATGCTGTTGTTTTGTTGTGGTGGTTATTGTTGTGATTGTGGAAGGAAAGAAGGGCCCTGACAATGTCCACAAAACAGCATTTCTCATACCTGCCTTTCCCTCATCCTCTACCCGCACTAATGACTTGGGTTTCTCATACCTGCCTTTCCCCTATCCTTCACCTGCACCTTATATCTGGCATATAAGTCAAAAGGACCACAGAATTTCAGAGAGGGTAGGTTCCATCATGATACGAGATCAGAGAAACATCCAAAACGACCGTGTCACTAGAGAAGCAGCACTAGACTCACTTTTACATTTGCTTTGATTGTGATGAAAGGTACACACGTGTAGCCGAAAAGTCAAGCCTATCTACATATTAAAAAAAACAGCAACCCCTGCCACACTATCTATCTTTCCCCATTTGGGAGCCTTTTGATTTTTATCTCCTAAAAGTCTAATAACATGGATATAGAACTACATCTTGTGGAATTAGTAGCTGTGACTTCTCGTGGGGAGAGAGGAAGGTTTCCCTCTTCTTCTAGCTCCCCTCTTCTTCAACCTTCATGACCCCCAGACACATGTACACTTTTTACCCCTCTATCCTCTCAACAGTTCTCTAACTCTGATGGCCTACTTTTGTTTAGGAGAATATTCCATGTTTATATTATTATGTTTAGGAAAATACCTTTAGCACTGAATCATGTAGTATACTATGATGATGTTGCTTTTCTTGCCAAAATTGCTTTCCCTGAAATTAATGATGATTTTGCTTTTCTAAACATTTCACTGAGTTTTCTATGGACTTCTTTTGTTTTGTTTTGTTTGTTGGTGGTGGTTTTTTCTTTTTCTTTTTCTTTTTTTTTTTTTTTTTAGATGGAGTTTCACTCTTGTTGCCCAGTCTGGAGTGCAATGGCACAATCTCAGCTCACTGCAATCTTCATCTCCCAAGTTCAAGAGATTCTCCTGCTTCACCTCCTGAGTAGCTGGGATTACAGGCACACACCACCACACCCAGCTAATTTTTTTGTATTTTTAGTAGAGACAGGGTTTCTCCATGTTGGTCAGACTGGTCTTGAACTCCTGACCTCAGTTGATCCACCTGCCTCGGCCTCCCAAAGTGCTAGGATTACAGGCATGAGCCACTGAGCCCAGCCAGACTTAAATATCTAAAATCATTTTCCAACCGCTTCTCCAATTATCTGAGGTTTCATTTCATTTCCTGAGAAATGTTTCCTTGAAACTTTCTGACTTGCTCCAAGTAGACCACTGCTCTCTATGGCATGGCTGTGCTCCCGGGTCTACATTCATCCCCACCGTGCTGATTCTCTCCACCTCTTTCTTTCCTGGTTCTCTTCACCTCCTTCCTGGTTCCTGAACCTCTACAACTTCTTTTTTCTTGGTTTAATCTCCTGCTTTTCTAACACAAAACTTCTAGTAGTTTCATGAGAAAGGGTACATGAAGTACAACTCTTTAGATGTAATTGGCAGCTTGGCTGGGTATGACATTCTGAATTGGAAATCATTTCCCTTTGGGGTTGCAAACATGGTTCTATTGTGTCCTAGTTGTTGAGAAGTCTGGAGACAATGTGATTTATGATTCACGATCCTTTGGATGAAATCTTTTTGTTTTTCCCTCTCTGGATTCCCCTGAGGCTCTTCTTTATTTCTGGCGTCACCACAGTCTGGGTCTATCTTCATTCACTGTCTGGGCACTCAATCGATTCTTTCAACCTGAATCATGTCTTCAGGTTTTAGAAAAACATGGTTCTGTTTTTCTTTATTTCCTTTTTCTTCCTCATGTACAGTGCATTGTTTTGAAATATATATACAATGTAGGTTGACTAAATTTAGATTATTAATAACATATGTATTAGCCCATATGCTTATCTTTTTTGTGGCAAGAATACTTAAAATATACTCTCAGTGATTTTTAAGAATACAAAGCATTGCTATTAACTATAGTTACCATATTGTACAATAGAACTCTTGAACTCATCTGTTACTTCTTTGATTTTTTTTTTCCCCTTCTGTTTTGTCTTTCCTCTTTCCAGAACTTCCCTGATTGGGTTATTGGATCTCCTGGTGTAATCTTCTATTTTTCTTATCTTTTCACTCTGATTTTCTATTTCTTAATCTTTTTGTTTCACTTTTGGGGAAATTTCCTCAACTTTATATTCCAATTCATGATTTTCTATTTCTGCTATTATGCTTTTAATATCTGAGAGTCCTTTCCCATGTTCTTTTTTTGTAGCAACCTGTTCTTACTTCATGGCTGCAACATCTTCTCTTTTAACCTCAGTAATGTTAATAATGGTTTGTTGTTGCTGTTGCTGTTGAAGTTTACCCCACCCCATATAGTCCCTCTTCCAAGTTTCTTTGTCTCCATTTTCTTGTTTTTATTTCTCTCTTTAGGTTAGTGGTTTTCCTGAGAAATACAGCAATCTTGGCTGCTTATGTTTAGGAAATGGGCATGCAAAGGCTGACTTGGTGTTTTTCACAAGTGCAATCTATCAAGCATGGGCTCTACTGTTGGGTTATATGGTTGCCCTGTTTAAGTGGAAACCCTGAAGTAGTTATCTGCAGATCTCCACGTGTACTGGTCAGCTTCTACAAGAAGAGTCCTCCGGTCTCCTGACTGGAAAATAGAAGCCAGGCTGCCGGCATTCTGGAGTCAAAATTAGAGAAGAGATTCTGGGGGCTCATGTGCAGTATTCACATTTGCTCAAACCCCATTTTCAATCTAGTCCCCCAACTCCCCTGCTGAACTAATTATGCCAAGTGTCCCCCAGCATTTTGTATGCTGTCCAGAGACTGAGCCCTTAGTCTTCTGCAAGGGTGAGGGAAGTTACTAAGCTCTGAGAAGTAGAAGTGGGGTAGGATTTGAAGTCTGATTGCTTCTTAGGCTTTCATTCAATCTTGTTTTCAGCCAAACCTGGGACCATGAATGTCTGAGTTGTGGGGAGTCTTTCCACTGTGAAATCAAAATTCCAATCCTGGGGGTCTGTTACATCAGTTCCCACTTAGACTTTACACTCCGGCTTTCAAACCAGTGGCATCATTTCTTCTCCAAGTCGTTTCTCCTTGTGAGCTTGTACATTACAAACACCTTTAATTACTAACCTCTTGTGGGTTGTTAGAGAAAGAAAAGCAGAGGTAAATAAATGTGTTCTGTCATCTTAAACCAAAAGAACAGTCTCATTTCTTGTATCTCAAGGGGTAGGTTACTAGATTACCGAGTGTGCTAATCCTGAGCAAATCAAGTTTGAAAATCCATAGAGAAGTGCATGGTTTGGGAAAGAAAGCAATGCTTTTCTTCCACACAACCTTTTCTTGACCCTCCCATGTACTCAGGTAATCTAACAGCACAGAACCAAGCTTCTGGTATTCCATTCACTTGTTCAACAACCACATCCTGGGCCCCTTCAATGTTGCCTTGCTCCGCCCTGAAGAATCTGAGAAGAACAAAGCAAAGGTGGTGCTCGCCCTCAAGAACTTCTACCATAATGGAGAAAAAGAAGCAAACACAAGGAAGCAGATGCATATTGTAATGGGGTCACAAAGGAAATAA